TGACAAATAAACCCAATTTTTAACAATAAAATAAATTATATACTAAATAGAACATATATCTACTGTTCCAAAATGCACTATAGATATGCCACAGCTACTGAAGTAGATTTCTTTGTGGACAATCTTTAACAGAAAGATGTATATCAGGGGCAGAAATAACATGGAAAGAATAGAGATAGGTTCCCAAAACAACAACAACAACTAATAGGGATTGGTAGCAACACACACAAAAGAAATGTTCTGCAGTGTGTGCCAGTATTTTTCTTATCAGAAGCCAATAATATGCACATGCAAAATGAAACAACCAAAACAGATCATTTTTGCACAAAATATTGAAATGTCTACAAACCATAATTCGTTCTGGAATGACTTTTTCTTCCACAGTATTCACTCTTACGATCTTATTTTGTAGCCTTTTTAACATGCTGGGAGGAGGTTATTCATTCTTCACATTCCTCTCTATTTTCAGAAGAGTTTTTAGAGGTAGTTGCTGTTCACCTTGGCTGTTCTAGGGAGGGATACTCTGCTAAAGTAAGGTAGGCTGAAATAGAATCTCGGTCTTTCCAAGATCACGTCTTAGTGCATTATGTATTGCAGACGTACTGCTGAAGCCCGACACTGAAAGTCTATATTTCTCTAGCCCTCCTCCACCATATCCCCAGGGTTGATGCTGCTAAAAAATTCTACCTAGACAGAGAGCAAGGAAAAAAGGGGAGGCTGGGTGGGCCTGAAAAAACGTAAAAAAAAATATTCTTTTTGGAGACTTTGTTAACTGAGGTATGCATGTATAAGAAATTTACCAATTTGCCCACCCTAAATGCACTATTGAAAAAAAATACATTATTCAAGGTGAAAAGTTCCTGATCCTTACCCTTGGCCATTTCAGTATCTCTCCCAATTTCTTTTTCTCTTTCTGAACAGAACACATGAACACAGCCCTTTCTTTAGCGTTTCTTTACCCAAACCAGTAATTCACAAGTATTATGTTTACAGAAATATTTGCTTACGATCGTATCAGGAGCTGAAAACACAGTTTGTTTGTGGCTTGAGATCTTAATTTTCTCAGTCTTTACATATAGGGAGAGGCAGAGTGATGTAGCACTTTAAGCATTGGATTACAGCTCTGGATTCAAATCCCTGCTCAGTCATGGAAACCTACTGTGTGATCTTGGGCAGGTCACACACTCTCGGTCTCAGAGGAAGGCAAGGACACATATACCCTGCCAAGAAAACATTGTGATAGATTTGCTCTAGGTGTGAGAGATAATTTGAATGCACATAACGACATTTTTTTCTTCTGATATCGGGTGGCTGGCTGGGGAAAGGAGTTGAATTGTCCTTTACTTGAAAGCGTTCTTCTATAAGTCCTGTCATATGGGCTGTCTGCTTGGATAAAAGAGGACAGGACTTAATCTCTCTTCTGTATCCTGCTGAACTGGCTAATGTCCCACTGGAGGAGAGCTACAGTTTCCTGTGTAACAGGACTGGAGAGCTTTGATCTTCAGATGTTTTAGACTTCAATTTCAAGGGACCTCAACTAACATGGCGAATGATAACAGATTACTCCGTCCAAAATCTCTGGAGAACCAAAGGTTACCTAGTCCTGCTCTGTAACTTTATCGTTATTTGTTTGTCCCATGCAGAGATATTTTTTCTGCAGACAGACATCTCTTACCCTGTGCAAATTATGCAGCAAGGCTAGGCTGTTTTCTGGAGTGTATTTTTTCGTCTTTACTACAGCACGATTTCTGTCATGTTGCCAATAGCATTAGGATTAGCTGCAGAACATGTAGGTCATCATCCCACTTCATGGCTGATGAGGTACAAAAGACAGCACTTTCTCAAAGATAATGTAACAATTGAGGGGAAACGGGGGTGGAATTTTGAGCACATCCACTTAGGAGGACATCAGGCACCGCTCATTATTTGAGATGTTTCCACTAGAGAGCCAGAAGACTATGAAATAATCACTGAGCTATTAAACTACCATTTCCCCCCTGCAAACTCACGCAGTCCCAGTACCAGTTCTGGCAACAATTACACATTTCAGTTCAGCATTCTTAGTCATGAGATGATCACCACAAAAGACATGATTTCTTTTGCTTGACTGAATGTATTTTAGAATGAGATTTTGCAACATATCAAGGCAAGTGGAAAGAGCTTGCTTTTGTTTCCCAAAAAAGGGGTCATTCTGGTGTACTTTCAAAAATGAGAAGCTGTTTTAAAAATAATAAAACCAAGGATTGCTGTATTTGGCTTTTGTGGTAGATGAGCGTGCATCTGCTCTGGATTTGTTGGACTGAAGTTTGGCACCTTTGTGGCTAATTACACTTTCTGGAAATGTGTTAATACAGTACCTGTCACTATCAGTGGGTGACAACTGAGAGGCAGTGAATTGCCAGATGGGTCATCCCAACTGGGTGTGTCATCCTGTCATTCACATTTATTCATTCATTCATTCATTCATTCATTCATTCATTCCTGACATGAAAAAAAATCATTCATTCATTCATTCATATTGAGTTTCCAAACTGCCTAGGTTTGGACCCAGTATTTTATCCTATCCCACAGCCATTAAAGGGAAGGAAGAAAAACTTGACAAACATTTCACATACAGTTCTAGATATGTAATATTGTTTGGTGCAGAAGGAGATATATCAGCTTGAGAAATACCTTTATTCAGGGCTACTTGAAACAGGACAAGTATAAGAAAACTATGTATGCGACATACAAATGGTGGGCTAACACAACTAGCAGCAAGGTTTTCCTCTAGCCGTATATCCCTCATATACACCAACCAAATAGCTGATAGACGCTGTAGAGGCATTGTCCAGGAAAATGAATCTATTCAGGGGATAAGGCTGGGCACCTTAGAGAGCTACTCTAAAGTTTGGCCTAAAATCCAGAATTGATTCACAAACTACAGGATATAGAAGGAGACACGGGTGTTACTTGATTTGCTATATGTGGAGTTTGTTCCCAAAAGGTACCTAGCCCTCCCCCCTCCCCCAAATGTGTTGTAGTTGGCAACACATTGTTGGCTAGAAGCTGAATATTATGTTCAGATCAAAACTATCAATATATATCAAACCACTTCGGTACAGAATTTGAAAATTCAGATCCCATCCAAACTTCCTGACTATAAGAGCTGTTCAGCAGTGGAACTCTCTGCCTTGGAGTTTTACATTATGAAAGGGTAGAAATACTCCTTGCAGTGTGTCTGAGAAGAAAGAGCATCCATTAGACAGGTGAAAAACACTTTCTGAATGGAACAGACTAGTTTAGTTTGTCGGATAAGCCTAATGCATGTAGAGAGTCAGGCCAATGAGTCCAGTATATCATTTTTCATCTCAGTTTTTTCCCCAGCTTTTGGCCAGTTACAGAAAAACTTAAATTAAAAAGAAAGTTATGAGACCTTCCTGCTTTTAAGACTCTTTTAGGCATTGAGTATAGCCCATGGGTGTTTGTTTAGTAATATTTTTCAGGTTTCTGTTTCTGCGCTAGATCAAACTTTGATGTTTCGGGTATTTTAGATTTCAGTTCCCAAAGGCTTTGGCTGACCAACTTAGACAATGATCAGAAATTGTGGGAGCTGAAGCCCAAAACATCTAGAGGGCAAAGTTTTAGAATTATCACTGTGGAGTACAGAACATTTGTTTCCTTCCAAAGTTTGTTGCATGTTTATTATTAGCATCAAGAAATGACAAAGTTATGACTGCACTTGCTGAAAGATATTTGCTTTTCTTCCCCACTAAGTAATATGGATTGTAGCTATCTGAAATATACAGGGTTAGTCAAAATGAATAGGCCAATAAGAAAATTAATTTTAGACGAATGTATGTTTACTGTAACCAAACCACAGCTACGTAGCGACAGATAAACTATCAAAGTTTTTTTTGAGCAACACACATGTACGTTAATGCCGCTAGGCGTCGCTAGGGGTCGCTGTTTTCAAAATGGCGGAATCAAGCAAAGAGAAGGCGTTTTGTGTGATGACATTTGCTAAAACAATGTCAGTAATTACGGTCCAGCGATAATTTCAAGGGTTAGGGTTAGGGTTAGGGTTAGGGTTAGGGTTAGGGTTAGGGTTAGGACCTCAACGAACACCTTCCCAGACGTTGCTGCATTCGATGCCATTACGTCGGATGTGCTGCAACGGATGTGGAATGAACTGGACTATCGCTTGGACATCTGCCGTGTCACACGGGGCGCCCATATCGAACATCTCTGAAGGTGAGACAAAACTTTGATAGTTTATCTGTCGCTACGTGGCTGTAGTTTGGTTACAATAAACATACATTCGTCTAAAATTAATTTTCTTATTGGCCTATTCATTTTGACTAACCCTGTACTTATATCATAATGATGATAATCTTTTGAAATTGATTTAGTGAAGGGTAGGCAAACTATAGTCCTCGGATTGGCCTAATTGCAGAAGCTCTCTGAACGTGACCCGTTCAGGCCTCCCTCTTCCTAATCACTGTTCATCCCACCAAAGAAAACTCTCACAAGCCATTTAGGTAGCTGTCTGTCTGTCAAGAGAAATATAACTTTTGACAGTAAAGATTTTAATAAAAAGAAAAGAAAAGTTTAAGCACTGTCCACTGTTTTGATCCAAACCAGGGGGCGGAGAGCAAAGCAGCTGTTCATTTAATGTTTGGTTTATTATTTTAACTGGGAAATCCTGTTCGTGTATCTCTTTCACACCATGTCTGTTCTAGCCCTAAGATAGTCAGAAAGAGAATGTAAACTACTTTACAGTGTGAAATGACTGCTTGCCAATGAGTCAACCAATCTCTTAGGGTGTGTGAACTGGGGCAGGGAGGTGATAATGAGGGTGGATTACATAATGATTTGTCACAACACTTTGTACCTGCCTGTGTTCACTTCCATCCTGCTCAGTAGCACACCATTGACTGACTCTTCCTGGGTCCCTTATATCTGAAACTATCTTTCTCCCAAAGATGTTGATCCCAACCCTTTCATTCTTAATTTTGCAGCACCAGGCTTGGCAATGCCGTTTGGATGTGTTACCCTGGGAGATAAAAAGGATTATAACCAGCCATCAGAAGTGACTGACAGATATGATCTGGGGCAGGTCATCAAAACGTAAGTGTTCTGACTTTTCCTCAAATTTTGTCAGGCGAGAGGTCCACCCATCTACGAGTTGAGGAGCCTGTCATCTTTCACATATTAACTGATTGGTTGGTTGATGGATTGAATATGTATCCCACTTTTCTCCCAAGATGGTATCCAAAATGTCTTGTAATCATTTAAAAATAATTAAGCAAAAACATTAGTTTACAAAAGTTTAAAAATCAACAAAGTTTTAAAAGCATAATTTAAAACAGTTAAAACATTAACCCATTTTAAAAATGTAATTTCCTGCAAAATATTAAAATATAGTCAACCCAGATGCAACCATCCTCAATGCATTTTTTGCAGAAGATAGTGTGACCATTCCCATAGCGACCATATGAGAGTTGAAGTTGAAATTTCAAGCAGGGATCTTCTGACTCCTAATTCGCACTTTTTCTTCCTGCCTTAAAACACATTTTGTGTTTAGAGTCCTCATGTCTACCTTTTCCCACGGAGAAGATATTCATATATTAAAAGTTGTTTCCACTGAAATTCAGCTGAAATGAAATGTAAAAGGAAAGTATCAACTCTCCAGCTGAAAGTGTTGGCAAGGGACCATAGAATTGTATGATCTGAGAGAAAAACACCTTCTTGGATTTGTCATTTTGTTGGATATGTATCCCTTTCCCTGTCAGAGAGCTCTGGTCCCCAACAAAATATAAATACCAGGATTCAGTTGGATGGTACCATGGCAGTTAAAGTGGTGTCAAACTGCTATAATTTAGGAGTGTGGGTGGTCTCTTAGCAAGAATCTGTGGAGAAATGCACAAGGCTGAGGAACCTTTGTCCTGCCAAATGTTTTTGACTTCTCCTAGAAGCTGTAGGCAGAATGAAGAGTGGTGAGATATTATGAGAGCCATAGCCCAAGACATCTAGAAGGCCAGAGTTCTCCAACCCTGACAGAAACTCATGCCTTCATTTCTCTTGGGTGGGTGACTCAGAGAAGGCCAAATGACTGACTGTCCCTGCTGCATGGTTGGGCTGCTCCAGCCATTGGGCATGAATGCTTAAATGCGAATGTGGCTCTTCTTTCTCCTAGAGAGGAGTTCTGTGAGATATTCCGTGCCAAGGAGAAATCAACAGGCAAGCTATATACATGCAAGAAGTTTCTGAAAAGAGATGGTCGTAAAGTGCGGAAGGCAGCCAAGAATGAGATCATCATCCTTAAGATGTGAGTTGTGAATGTTGACAAAGACAAATCCTTCAACTAATTAGCGAAGAATGAACAACACCCAAAATATTGTTAAGACTGCAGCTGCCATATTCCAACATAATTGTTTAGACTGACCAGATCTAATAAGTACTGCACTGCAACAATGTCTGGAAGGCCACCAGTTGTCCAGCTGTCCCCTAGTGTCTGCTTTGAGTATCCTTGTAGAGAGAAAAAGTGTGTAAATAAGCGTAATAATTTATTTATTCTTTATTTATTAAATGTATTTATATCATGCCCTTCTCATCCTGGAGGGGACTCAGGGTAGCTCACAACAAAGGCACAATTTGATGTCTTGAACACATATCAACATATACATTAAAATACATTAAAACATATCAATAATGATAATGATAATGCTCTATTGTTATCTTAATCAATAACAAATGGGAATTGTAGTCTAGCACACATAGAAAGTGCTCATTGGGCAAGTGTTCACCTATTCCAGTTTAAAAGCATATCTGTATGAAACTATATAAATATAAATAATTGTTTCCTAAAATCACTTGCATTGCACATCAGAAGTTGGTAAGCTCAGTAGGCCTGGAGCCAGTCCTTTGCTCACCTGCCCCCAGATCTCTTTATTTCACCCTCTGA